AATTAATACAGGGATATATAAATGTCTGCTCTAGGCACACAGTAAATTAATAATTGCCTTGGGATTACAATGATTACCAATTTGTTATATACATCAATCACTTAGCATCACTGCCTTACTTTACAAGTCAAACAACAGATTATTATAGACTATGTGGAAAGCACTAAGTTAGTTTCTTAGAGGGATGTAAAGAATTATATCCCTAACTCAAGCTAAATCAAGAGGTTTACAGTATAATTAAAGGAGATAAAATAAGTGCACATAAAGACATAGGACTCCCAGATAAAGACAAAAACACTCATCTATTTTCATCCTCTTCCCAAACCCCACTGAATATACATACATCTTTTTTAATAAAGGTATAAACCTATAAGGCGAGGAAGAAAGAAAAACAAGAACAGAGACACAACTTTGAATACTGAAAAGTAGTAAAGGCCTTAGGAGACCTAAGAAAAATGAGTTCTAAACAGGCAGCAGGGCAAGTGGAGAACTGATTTGCCAATGAATCCCCAAAAGGCTTAAGAACCGGAGAGGTTTCTGATAAGATGGCAGAGTAGAAAGCACCAAGAATCTGTCTCCCCACCTAGACAACTGCACTGGCAGAATCTGTCTGATGTAACTATTTTGGAACTCTGGAGTCAACTGAAAGCTTGCAACTTCCAGGGGAAGGCTTGGACTTGTAATTTTGATCAATTTCAGCTCTTTGCACAGTAGCAGATACATATTCTTTAGCCCCATCCCAAGCCCCATGACGGCAACCATGCACATGCAGCTAGAGCAGCTTACAAGCGGCTGCAAAAGATAGGGTAGGCAAAAAGGATCCTGTCCTCCAAATACCAAGGATCTGTTCTCTTATCACTGATATTTGCTCTGATCACAAAAGTGCAAAGAGGGAGGTAGCCATTGCTGTTGCACCTCCCCTCATTGTTGTTGCACCTCTCCCCATGGTTGCAAGCCCCTACCTCTCCCATTGAAGTGACTTTCAGGGAATTTAAAGAGCCACTACCCATTTTACTCCCTTCCATTTTTCTCTTTTTCTTCTTTTGGGAGCCAGACAAAAAAGACTAAGACATTCAAAAGCAACTGTATATAGGGGGAAAATTACAAAGTGAATGTGCATTCCCAGGGAAAAGAGTAGGCTCAGAAAATACCTAAGAAGACCCTAAATATATACCTCAGACTAATCTTGGCACAAAGACACCCAAAAACAATAAAAAAAAACAAAAATAATTTTTTAAAAAGCATAACAAAAATTAGAAAACCCTGGGGAACAGAGAGAATCTGACTTCTAGTTAACATATTATTAGTTTCAATGTCGTTTTCAAGAACAAAATAAATCACAAGGCATACAAAAGAACAGAAAAGTACGGCCTGTTCAAAAATAAATAAATAAATCAACAGAAATATCCCTGAGGGCCGGCCCGGTGGCGTACTCGGTAGAGTGCGGCGCTCCCACCGAGGGTTCGGATCCCAAATAGAGACCGGTCCGCTCACTGGTTGAGCACGGTGCGGGCGCGACACCGAGGGTTGCGATCCCGTTGCCGGTCGCGGTATGGGTGGGCGCAACACCGAGGGTTGCGATCCCATTACCAGTCACGAAAAAAGACAAAAAGAAAAAAAAAAAAAGAAATATCCCTGAAAAAGATCTGATGGCAAATCTACTGGACAAAGATTTAAAGTCTTACAGATACTCAAAGAACTAAAAAAAATGCGAAAAAAGTCAAGAAAACAATGTACCAACAAAATGGAAAGATCAATAAGGAGACAGAAAACGTAAATAGAAACCAAAAAGAAATTCTGGATCTGAAAAGTACATTAACTGAAATGAAAAATTCACTAGATGGATTCAAAGGCAGATTCGAGCAGGCAGAAGAAAGAATCAGCAAACTTTAAAACAGGACAATGAAAATTATAAAGTCTGAAAAACACAAAGAAAAAAGGTTAAAGAAAAGTGAACAGAGCATAAGGGACTTGTGGGACATAATGAAGCAAACCAACATACACATCATGGCAATCCCAGAAGAGAGTAAACAGAAAGAAAGGAGAAGAGAATATTTGAGGAAACAATAGCTAAAAACATCCCAAATTTGATGAAAGACATGAATATAAACATCCAAAGAAGCCCAACAAACTCCAGGAAGATAAACTCAGAGACCCACACCAAGACACACTATAATCAAACTTTAAAAAGACAGAGACAGGGGGCCGGCCCGGTGACGCACTGCTACAGTGCGCCGCTTGCGAGCGCGGCAGCGCTCCCACCGAGGGTTCGGATCCCACATACAGACTGGTTCCCGCTCACTGGCTGAGCGAGGTGCGG